CATACCTTATCTTTTTGCCAGATTGTCAACTAATTACATCATAAGCCATCAGCTAAGAAAGTCCATCCAGATCTTCCATGGAAAATTAATGTGGTTTTAAAGCTAACCCAAGATAAAGTAGCTTTTTCTCCTTCAAAAATGGAGTAAGTAAGAGAACTTTGCAACACAAACATGTTTGTGAATCCAAAGGTGCAGTAGCCAGAGTTAATGTATTTCAAATAATACCCATAATAGGTGTGTAACTAAAAGTCAATCCAGCAAATGTTTTAAGTGCATCCTAACTTAAAGTATGTGAACAACCTTGCGGAGTCTATGCCACTAATCATAGACTATATGTTTTAGTGTCTTACAAAAATGAGTTCACAGAAATCAACTGGGTTTTTAACTGTAATTTGAGTATTGTGCTTTGGCAGTGAAGTTGCAAAGACTTTGTTTGGTGCAGCTATTCTAACGTCAAGAGTTCTACCTGACTATCAGGTTTTACCTGTTTGCCATTGCAGTTGGGAGTTGAAAGCCTGCATAAGATCCAATGAGTGTTAAACCCAGAGCATTAATCTGCTTGTTTTGTTTTGGTTTTTTTTCCTTTATGAGAGTAGCACCTCACTGCTGTGGGGGACCATGAAAATGCACGTAGTTATCCCTGTGAGATCTACCTTTGTCTTTGTTTTTCTGAACACCAAAAATGTATTTTCATTTGCATCAGCCAAGGCCTTTTACCTGTTAGAGAGCAGCAACAATCTTTTATGTGTACAAAGGCATCATAAGGGAAATGGAAGCTTTATTTTCCTTCCTTCATTTCCATGTTGCATGAGTAAACCCATTTCTTTCAGATTCGGGCAAAAGTGCACAGCAACTTCACATTGAATAGGAAGAAAAATACTCAACTAATGCCATAGGGTAAATGCAAATATCAAGAAGGTAGAATTTGTCAAGGTACTACATTTTAAGCTGAAGCTTTTTAAATAGTACAATCATAAATGAAACAAATTCATAGATGCACACTTAGAAAATTGCATATAATGGATATGAAAAACACCTAAGTAGCTCTTATCAATTCTAGTGCTGGAAAAACATACGCTTTCCATATGTAGGCACATAGTATTTGTATTTATACATCCACTCAACAACCTCATAAAACAAATTTTCAAAGGTCTTAATTACATGGATATTTTTCCAAATCCAAAGTAATTCTAGTGTTTTCTGAGGTCCAGAAAATAACTGTTTGCTTTTTTTCTTAATTCAAGAGCATTTTTATTTTAAATTATTTTAATTTAAAGTTATTTTTGTCAAAGGAAAACACAGGACAGTATTCTTGGAGTTTTCCTTCATGTGGTGAAAATTAAAGAAATGTCAGACTACCAGAATGCGGCTGCCAAAGCTTAAATCGTCATATTCATTATTAAAAATGGCCTTTTCAAAGGACAGCCTCAATAAAACGCTAAGAGGGGTTAATGAGTATAATACTCCTTTACTGAATTCTCAAATTCTCAGTCCTACTCTACCTTAACATGTTGGTGTTCGCCTTTGGAGTCTCTCTGTCCAGGCACAGTTCATGTGGTGACAGACATTGGCTATCTAAGAGAAGGATAAGAAGCTGAAGGTGTCAAATGGGTTCTCAGTCACACCAGAGACTGTAGGATGTCATGTGAAAAATATTTAGCTCACAGTCAGAAGTTCCCATGGAACTTTACCCAGGCTAGAATGCTGCTGGTGTAAACATCATTAATTTTTTTAAGACGATCAGAAGACAAACACATATTGGTGTCTTGATTCAGGTTAAGAACCAAGCTTTGAAAATGATCATTTCCATCAAAGAAAAGATGCATAACCATTGTCTCCAAATCATAATATTTGATGTGCAAGAAAATTTATTTTGACATCAGTGAACTACACTGAGTTAAAACCCTAACTTTTAATTGCACACAACACAGTAATGTGAGAAAACATTTCAAATGTGAATCAGTTCACTGAAGCAAGTATTCGTTGAATGTATATTAGTAGTATTGCTCAAAGTAAGACTGCTACATATTCACTGAACATGTCTCCAGAATGACTGTCCCACTAAGTCCGTTTTCACGGGAGTCACACTGAAAGATTGCAAGCTCTGATCTCAGTTGGGCCACTGCACAGAGTCCTGCAGATAATGTCTAATGCACAAAGACCAAACAGTGGGTAGATTGCCAAATTCTTATTTGTCCTTCATGTGAAGACCATATTGACTGTTTCAAAAACTCTTTGTATGAGCCATTATTTTCAAATTGTTTCCCAACTTATACTGCAATTGAAAATTGGACAGCTCTTCAATTGCTCCAACATTTCAATTGATTACCAATACAGGTTTTCAGAATTAAGAATATTGCTCTATTCTTTTCCACGGCATCATGTTGACTTTGTGTTGTGGTCATTTAAATATTGCTGTACAGTTTGTGCTGGACTCTGGTGTTTAGATAACAGAAGGGAGAATCAATTAGATTTATTATCTCTAAACTGTACTGTAAGTGATAAGACAACCCCTTCATGTAATGTAGCATCCATCCTCAAGGACTTGCGTAGTTCTACAGTTTTAGTAGTTTTAAGTAGCAGTGTGATTTATGGTGTCATATACAATGATGGGAAAGACTCTACTTAAACAGAATCAAAATTATCACCAAGGGGGAAAATGGAGGAGACGGTGGAAGCCCACATTGATGAAGGAACTGGTTATTGCTGATAACCAAACTGAGTCAAAAGCTGCACTAGAGTGACAGCCCAGCCTTCTTGAGCTTTCCTGGCCTCCTTTTGCCTAGAAGTCCACTCTTATTATTTGTCCCTAGGTGAGGTTTAAAACTCTCCATAACCTTCCTTTGATCTTACTGGTTTAGTAGGAGTCTTCTTTGAATAAAAATGATCAAAAGATGTGGTAGAAATGCATTTTAATCTCACGCAATTGTTCCAAAGTCAACTGAAGCCAAAACAAGAAATTTTCTGATATCAGTAAACTTTGGTTCATAATGTGCATGGTTGTATTTATGGTCAAACCAACATAATATGAAAAATTTTTTGCTTCTCAACTGAAAAGCAAAAGCAGCACTTGTTTTTTCTCTAGTCAACACTAGGGATTTCCCTTCATTTGTTCCCAATGAGATATTTAAATTGATGGGATAGAATTAAGGGAAAGGTCACATGCACAAAGGCTAAAGAGCTTGATCCATCCACCAAAATCAATGGAAAGTTTCCTGTTGGTTTCAATAAGAGCAAGAATGGGCCCACAGTCCTTTTAATCTTTGCTCATAATTCTTCAGAGCCAAGTGTTCTGCCTTCAGTGACTTTGAAAAAGAAAAAGGAAGACCATCCCTTTGAATAAATTATTCAAAATCAACCTTGGTAATATCTCCCTGTATAAAATACACTTAGTTATCTGAAGATAAGAAATAAGTGTTGCAGTGAGGCACTTCCACGTGGACTAAACTAACTTCTCATAATATGTTCCTCCATTAGTTTCTCCACAATGATAAAACCTCACTCATTCAAGGATTTAATGACTTCTGTGACACATGCAGCTCATTCAGTAGCCTACTGACTCATGCATTATTTCAACTGAATTTACGGAATTTGCATCCTTATACCTGAGACATATGCAGAGCCAATAAGTATCCAGTTTGCCACACACAAAGTTAAGGCTCCCTCTCTCTGGATACAACAGAGTTATAGTTTCCTGAGTGTTAGATTCCCCAGTGAGTGTTCAGCTGCTGCCTGTTCATGACACATATTGTCTAAATAATATGTAAGAAGTATTTTACCACTACAGTTATGAATAATGAAAACTGGAAAAGTGTGAATAATACAGACTGGGAAAGTGGCAATTTTCTGAAGCTGTAGCATCTGTGGATAGTTTATTTGATTACACTTGGCAAGTATGAGTCTGAAAAGTTTAACACACAGACTAGACACCTCTGCAAGAGTCCTAGGCTGCTCCAGAAAATGGTCCCAGAAATTCAGATGATGCTGCTTTTCCTCTGTATCTGATACAATGCTTGAAGAATGGCTTTGTGTAGCTGAGGACACCAACTTTTCTGTGCGTTCATCAAAGTCCCAGTCAGCTTTAGCTGCTGAAGGCTCCAGCATTCTTTGCAGTGTCAGCCTTACCTGGGTAACTGCAGAGCTCTTATTTTATATTCTTATTAATATTCTTATTATTCTGACATTGTAATAAGATTGTAGTCTTTTTAATTTTTGCTACTTCTGCTGGTTTTCCATGTTCTAACAAGGGACTTTGAGTAAATAACATTTCATTAATAGAGTAGTTCCTGATCATATACAATCCCATAGAACATCCCTGAATATCCCTGGCATCAATGGGACAGGCCTATTGCAATATGAACAGTAGGTAAAACTTTGGGAAATTCTTAGTTTAATCAATTTCCTTTTTATATCAAAAGGAAATGTTTCTAACATTTTTCATATGTGGTTGATCAGGTCATAGGGGCATAGTCAATTACCCACCATCTAGTTAGATACACATCTACCAAAGTCCAAGATTGTTGTCACTTTTAATAGATCATAAGCTGAAAGGTGCTACACCCAGATGTTGTTCCTGCAATAGAGTGTAACCCACTGCAAAATGTTGCAATGACAACACTTATTTGAAGTATTTTCAGCTGAAAAGAGGCTAGAAAAGTTAGAAATTATTATGTAGGTAGATCATCCATTGTTTTTTATATTACAATAAAATCTAATATCAACATATGGCTAAAAAAACCCTCTTTAAAATATTCGGGTATAATATAGATATGTTATATTTTAAAAATGTATTGTTTGCTTTAAAAGTTAATTTGGAAAAGAAACAAAGATGCTTGAGTTCCTTCAATAGTATTATTCCATTCTGGAAAATGTAAGAAGTAGATTAATATTGAATATTTTTGCTGATAACAATTGAATTTTACAATATTTGCATAGTACTAGGACTCTGCAAGATGTCAGTGCTCATGAAAGTAATTTTCTGGTCTGTGTGCCCATTCACAAATCAGACTGCAACTTCAGAAGACAGAAAAGCTGTGCTGCCCAGTAACCCCAACTTTTCCTCCAGGGAGAGGACACCCTGACCTCACACAGCCCACACAGGGAGCAAGTGTCCATGAAAGGTAAGGCAGGTGTAAGAAAACAGATCTCAGACAAGTGACATCAGTGAATGTGGAAACAAAGAGCACAAAATAGCATTAACTAAAGTAGGTGCCAGTGAGCGCAGGATCTGCCTCAGCTATAGCAAAAAATCTCCCTCTTTAGCAGCTGAGATCACCTGCACCACCCACTCTCATTTAGTCCTAGGACTTCAAGGGGTGTGTGAGTGCAGGCACAACTATCGTAAGTGGAAAGATAGCTTAATGTTTAATGAGGATCATCAAATTTAAGAACCTCTAGGATCTTAGCATCTAGGCAGATATTTTTTAAAATCTTAATCTGAAATTTAGGTGCATAACGTGGCAATGAAGTGGCATACCAGACTGAGATCCTTTTTCAATTTAACACTTGTAATCCTGTTGGCTCTTAAGAGTCACAGAGTGACATTATGCTGAATTCTTAAAGGTTAGTTCTGGTGAGAAAGCATGACCAATAGTGGAAATAATTAACACTACTAAATAAGTTAAATTGGAACTCCTGAAGAGCTGTGTTTTAAAAATACCTTTCTCAAAAGGTTTTCAAACTCTTTGTTTGGAAATGTACAATGACATTTCACATTGCTGATCTTACCCCTCTAGATTTAAATAGCCTAAACAGTAAACAGTGTGTTTGCAAAAGTTGAAAGTCAGTTGGATCGAGTCAGTTCTCAAGTGAATCAATGTATACTGCTTTACACCGCAGTTGATCTGATTAGTCTCATAAGAGAGGTAGCAGCTCTAATAAAAGCCTCACTGAAAAAAAAAGTGTACCTATTTACTGTTATCTTTAATATTTTGTGAAAACAAGGAAGACTTGAAGGTAAGCAGCTTTAATGCACCTATTGATTTCCTTTATTTAAAATATTAATGAACTGACTAAAACAAGTGATGTTTTTTAAAAAAATTATCAGATTTAAACAACATGCATGATGTTTTCTACATGATCCCAAGTGTTTATATATTAAAAACCAAATTAAAACTGATTAGTTGATAATGACTGCAGATGCTGACCTTTGGAAAGATTTATTAGTCCTGCAAACTGTGAACTGGGCTACCTGCTCATTCTGACCTTGATAGAAGAACAGAAACAGCGAATGGTAGATTTAACCCTTGCTGATTCTAAAAATAAATTCCTGCTAAAAGAAACATCAACTGTGGTTAAACAACGGAACTTCTATGTTGCGAATATTGTTACAAGTCCTTTTATTTTTTAAATTAGCTATCCATGGGAAACAAATTAATGCCCTCTATCTCCTTCATTGTTTACTAATAAATATCTTTTTAGGCGATACAGAGGACTTGGGGAAACATTTCATTATACAATCTGCACAGTTGCATTTACCGTTCACCAGCAAAGCAAGCTGAATGTGTGTCATACAAAAAGACTGCTATTGCCTTGCTTTGGTCTCATGCTTGGTCTCCTTCGCTGTCCATTGCAGGCAGCACAAATACTCCCATTGACTTCAGCATGTGAGTGTACAGGCCCTAGATATGGAGAAAACTGTAACTTGAAAGCAGACATTTATCAAGATAAAGAGTCAATATGTCTTGTAAGTATCTGAGAAAATGATTTAATTGCAATTTGAGTTTAAATAATGATGATAACTGGAACTGCTTTAGCTTACTTTTTATTTATTTATTGTAACTTCTTTACAGGAGCCTGGTAATGACTCTTTTAAGCTCACAATTCATGTCTATTGACTTTAATACAACCCATTGCAATACTGATAGAGCCTGCCTTCAGCAGCTACCTTATGCCTTATTAAATTAACAGCTAAACATCAATGCTTAGTCCTGTGCTTTTCAGCTTAAAGCAGCCAAGCCTGGATTGCCTGGCAAATTGGTTCAGTTCAGGGACAACTGGTTACGTGAGTTAATCTTAGGAAGTGGGGGAAGGAACAGGGAAAGGGGTAGAGGAGAAGGGGAATTTTGGTTTTGTTTTGTTTGGGGAGTATTTTCCTGGCTTTTTCTTTTTTTTTTTTTTTTTTTTGACCACCCTGTGATCTACACTGCAATCCGTTTTGTCTGTTGCTTCTGACAGTATCACAGGGAACCTCGCTTGGTGAGATTGATTGGTACCTCCAACTTAGCCATTTCCTTGTAGAATGGCTGCCTTTTTTTGCCTAATGATGTTACATTTGTCCTGCAGATGATGTAGAGCATGCTGCAGAGGATGAACAGCTCTGCTCTGATCACTCCTTACTTGGCAAGTACTCACGCTTCACACCAACACTCCTCAGCACCATTAATATTATATATAGATACCCTTGTCACAGATTTACATTCGGTGATCCGAAATCAGGACAGGAAGGGTGAAGTGTGCGGGGGGTGTACGGGTGAGGAGGTGATCTGATTTATTGTGAGGAATGTTGGTGAATAAAAAGGAAGTGATCAAATTTATATTAATGTCTTGACCTATATTCTCAGTGCTGCTTTTTTCACTGCTCAACCCCGAAGTGTCTTTCCTCCTGCAAAAGATTTCAAAAAGTCTTTAAAAACATGATGGTTCAGTGTCTCAATATGCATTTACTTGCAATAAATTCTTTGAAATCACAATTTTGTGCATCGGTGACAACCCCTGGGGAGATTAATTAGTCATGAAGTAGAGGCCAGGTTCTCAGTCTCTAAAATGGTTCATGCATGATCTGCATATCCACAAGTGGATGCACTCAGAAAACCTGAGCACTGAACACCGTAAAACAAGGAGAATGTTGCAGAGTTACCTCGAATTTACATACACATCTGCAGATCCAATGTGTAAGACTTGCCTGAAAGTTCAATAGAGAAAGAGCAGACCTTTGATATATACCTTACACAGGAAATGCAATACCAAGCCATTCAGAGACACGGCATGAAGATGGTGAATCAAAGAACTCAAATTTAGAACAGCAGAAATAAGATTTCTTGCAATCTAACTTTAGTGTCTTTTATTTATGTCTTCTAACATTTAATTGTTTAGTGCGGTAAAGTTTTCATCCAATTCCTTCCATAGGGAACTTGTTCCGGGGATGAATCAGGGTGCTGTAAAGAAAGACCTTTTTCTGGAAGAATGCCAGCTTTGTTTTTCAGAGGAGATAAAACATAGGAGGTTTCCTGAGGTTTCCTATGTGGCATTTGCTAAGTTGCCTACATTTGTATACTGATATGCCAGTAACTCCATTGAGATTTGGAGGTCAGGGTGCTAAAGAGTGAAAAACCACAACTTTTTGAATGTTTGTGCCTCTCCTCTGATGAGTGTAGCAGAGATAATAAAGCCACCTTAGGAGCAACATGATGTATACTAAAAGTGCTGTTGTTTTCTACATTTCTCAGTCTGAGAGTCAGAACTGTGTAAATAATCAATTTGTGTAGTTTGCAAAAAATTTTTCTCAAAAATAATAATTGTAAATTGAGAAGTGGGAAGTCAATTTGTGATGAATAGAATGCTTCATTTTTGAGGTTTTTTTACTTTCTTTTTTTTTCATAGAAACTTCAAGTTTGTTCCTGAATGAAACATTGCTTCAAACTGAAAGATGAACAGTTTCATATAGAAAGCTGTGAAATAAAATTGTGTACTTTGAAACATCTGTTTCTGATCCAGAGAATATTGAAATGGACTATTTTGTCCATCCCTTTTACAGAGGGCTTTCTATTTGTCTTTAGTTTTTGGCAGTAGCAATCATCAAAAATTGGTACAAATGGATAAAATGTTTTTGGCATCAAGAAGACATGTTTTTCAGAACAGAAAATATTCTGATTATTGCTCTGCTCTACCTGAGATTCCTTGGACCATGAAAATGCTACAGAATGGAGTAATCCACAGAAGCAACCCAAATAGTCCTTCTTGTTCTATAGCAGAATAGACATGACTCAAGCACTATAGTGGAACATGACACCATAGTCAATGTAATATTGCAATGAAGCACTAAGGCAAAAAACATGATTATGAGTACTGCCCAGTGACCCAGCAAGTCAAGATCTCTCTCCTACTCACTTCAGGTGGCTGGTCAGCAGTAAGTTAATGGTACCTTTATACTTCTGAAAAGTGTATGCAAATAAGTCATTTACAGTTCATTAAATACCTGCTCTTGGTACTTGAAGTGCACAGCTTTGTAAGAATGACTTGAGATATATAATCTAAAATCAAATGCATACAAAACTTTGCACTAGTTTCTTGCTTCTACCAGATTGTCACTTTTCTGAAAGGATTTGGCAGGAATGTCACCGTGTTTTTCCAGTTTTGGTTAGTGGAGCCATGGTACATAGATAATTACCTTGATTAGTTTGGTACTGTCCTCTTCTCTCTGATTTCTAGCTCAGAAAATTTATCAGTAATTGCAGAATTTATTTTTTCAGATTTTTTAAAAAGAATATTATACCTTAAATATGATTTTTGTGTGAATTCTTTCATGTCCAGATTTATTGGCAATATTCAACCAACACATTAGGCATAAACTAATACTAGCCGATTACCATCGATGCAACTAGGCATGAACTAATATGTCATAATGCCTCATTGAAGTTATAAAGTTTTCTTATAAAATGCTTTAAAATAGCTTATGTTAATTTACTTACACGGCTAACATGTAGTGAGCAGGAAATTATGTCGTATTAATTTCAGCACTCATCACTCTTATTAGCCAATCATATCACTCTTCTTCTTTCCATTTTATAATTATCATTAATTACCAGTTTATAATAAGTTTATTCAGTTAATTCAGTGCTGTTCATGCCCTGAAGCATAAACCAATACTGATATCATTTGAACCTGTGACTAATTAGAAAATTGTAGTACCATTAGGTAACTTGTTCTGTAAATGATTTCATCCTTTCAGGTAACCTAAGCCTTTTTTTTTTAATTATGAACAGAAAAGACAGGCATTTATGATTAATTCCTTTAACGTTTGACACACAAAGGTTTTTTATGCGTTTGTTTTATAACAAAATTTTTTCCAGCACTAAGAAAACAGACTTAGCTAGAATCACAGAGTCATACAGTTGGTTAGATCGGAAAAGGCCTTTAAGATTACCAAGTCCAAGCACTAACCCAGCACTGCCAGGTCCACCACTAAATCATATCCCTAAGTTCCCCATCTCCATGTCTTTTAAATACCTCCAGGGATGATGACTCCACCACTTCCCTGGACAGCCTGTTCCAATGCCTGACAATCCTTTTGGTGAAAACATTTTTCCCAATATCCAATCTAAACCTGTCCTGGTGCAACTTGAGGCCTTTTCTTCTTATCCTACTGCTTGTTACACGGGAGAAGAGACTGACATCCACCTGCCTTCGACTTCCTTTTAGATAGTTATAGAGAGTGATAAGGTGCCCCTTGAGCCTCCTTTTCCCCAGGCTGAATAACCCCAGCTGTCTCAGCCACTCCTCATCAGACTTGTGCTCCAGATCCTTCACCAGCTTCATTGCTCTTCTCGGACACGCTTCAGCATCTCAATTGAGAATAATTGAAAGTAGAATGGAAGAACCAAATGCTTTACCTACAAAACTATTTTGTCTGCTTCCACAGCAGAAAAGCCCAAAGACACAGACACTTGCAGGTAAAGTTTGGGAGCAAAGCTTTCAGGCAACTGAACATAGTGTTTTATTGAATAACCTTTCATTGCACACTTTTAAATGAGACTAGACAATGTCATTGGTCAAGTACCGTAAAGGGTCATCTTGTACCATACAGAAAAGATAGACTCTCTTCTGCCTGTAATTTCTTTATGCAATTTTTTTAAGAGATTCCGTAAGAATGATTTCTTACAGTAATTCTGCAATTTGAGCTGGAATTTTGATTATGATTTAACAGCTCAACCTTATAAAAGAATATTAACACAGTAATGCTACTTCATAATATCCCCTTCTGCAGGAACAGTGGTTTAATTTCAGTGCACTTTAGATATAGTTGCATGTTTTTTATATAGATTAATTATACATTACCTAACTAATGAAGTAACACCTGCAGTAGCAGTACTCGTGCATTTTTCAAGTGATGGAATAAATACATTTTCCCTTTTTTAAGGGATACTTGAGATCTATTACTCTCAACTTAGTTGACTCCTCAACCATTCCTCACCAAGTTCACCTGAACATTGCACTTCTCCTAACATTCCAAATTCAAATAGTCCTCCTTCCAGTACTTTAATCTGAGACAGCAGGTTTGTCTTGCACCAGCTACCCCCGGTCTCAAAGTACCTTTACAGCATCAAGTCTTAGCGAGCAGCTGGTCATTCAACCACTTTCACTGTTATGCTCACAAGGTGTGCACAGGGATTTAGATATTCCAGACAGTCCCTTTTCTATACTTTCTGTTCCTTTAGAGGAAGCAGAGGTCAAAATTCAGGCCTGGCCTTTGGCTCCCATAACCTTAGGGTAGGCACTCCTGTGAACACCTCGGGCTAAGTCAGTCTATTGGGTGACTGATTGCTGCCCTACCAAACATACCGTGTGAGTCTTGATACTATTGTCTCAAATGTAACTAGTGGTGCTTCCGAATGAGCCACTGCTGCTTTGCAAATAGACATGTCACAGGCAGGAGTACCAGGAAACACATAGTCTCCCTTCTGATCTTGATGACAGGCTTCTAACTAGTTGTTGTCAAAGACTAACCACAGTAGGAGCCCTGAAATCACTAAGCCAGTCAGTCTCGCAGGAGCTGGAAATAAGGAGCCTTCTGTGATTTAAATGTGGGCTGACTCATTTGCCATTTCTTATGAAGCCAGCTTGTGCCAGCTCTGCTGCTGCTTAATCACACTGCTGCTGGGAGAATTTCTTGGCAGAGAAACCACACATGAGAGCACAGGGAGTGACAGATATCACCTTGGGCCTCATCATCTTTAGGTGGTATCCCACTATGTTCATATCATGAACAGGATGCGTATGCAGAAACACATTTTAATGGCATCTTGAGCAACTGCTAGTGACTTTTGCAGTGTGAATGACCATGAAGACGAAGTACTGACCTACATCAGAGAGTGACTGGTTCAACAGTACAGAGCATACCTGTAAATTCTGAAATCTGGCCTGATACTCCTGACCGTTCTGTTGTCTCCAATTTCTCCTTTCATAGCTCCAGTCATGAAAAGATGATGACTGTCTATCTGCTCTTGATATCACAGAAATAGCCACACTCATTAGGATTTGTAGTAATTTTAAGTCAAGTTTCTCTGTTGCTAGGACAAGGCTTCAAAGAGAGTAGCAAAAAAGCTTCAGGTGT